CAAAAGTAACCTCCTTAGCTACTCTCTTGCTACACCAGGGTACTCTTCTGAGTTTGCTTGTCACCTTTATAGTTACTCTAGTGTTAGTTAACACTTTGTTAAAGTTAACCAAATTAAAGTTGAAAATTAAGTCAAACTAAGAAATGATCATACAAATACACATATTCTAGAAACACACACGGCATGCAAAGGATTCACTTCTACACAACTCTTTGGGATAGAAGTGGAGTCTAGATGGCTTGATTGGCAGAATAAGGCTCAAATGAAGCCACATCTGCCAGTATTGATGATTAGCCACTTGTGCTGGTTTGTATGCAAAGTGGGTTCATCATACAATTCTTTTCACCTTTGTAAAAGGCTTGAACATTTCTTTAATAAAGGGTGCAGAAGGGGCCACAGAAATGGTTAGGAGTGCTTACTCCTCTTGCAGAGGACCCAAGTTTGATTCCCAGCAACCACATCAGGTGAGTTACAAGCACTTGTAACCCCAACCCCAAGGAAACTGATTTTAAAAAGATATAGGAGCTGGCCTGGTCATTCACATCTGTAACCCCAGAACTTGGGATGGTAAGATAGAAAGAACCTGATCAAGGTCAGCCTCACCTATATAACAAGACCCTGTGCAGAACATAAGTAAGTTAACAAGCGAATTTTTTAAGTTTTAAGAAGAGAGAACATCCCTAAGAGAGATATGCATGGTGCCCCAGAGAAGGGGAATGAGGCAAGATCTCCTGAGCAGATTGGGAACATGGGGGGAGAAGGGAGAGGGAGTCTGGAAAAAGAGAGGGGAAGAAAAGGAAGGGAGAGGAGGACATAGGGGAGCAGAAAGGTTGAGTCGGGGGAAGAATAGAGGAGAGCAGGGTGAGACATACCATAACAGAGAGAGCCATTATAAGTTTGAGGAGAGATCTGGCACTAGTGAGATTTACAGAGATCTACAAGGATGACACCAACTGGCAAACTAAGCAATAATGGATAGGCTACCTTAAATGCTCCTCCCTGATAATGAGTTTGACGACTACCTTATATGCCATCCTAGAACCTTCATCCAATGACGGATGGAAGCAGAGGCAGAGATCCACAGCTAAACACTGAACTGAAGTCCTGGAACCCAATGACAGAACGGGAGGAGTGATGAGCCAAGGGGTCAAGACTGGGCTGGTGAAACCCAGAGAAACAGCTGACTTGAACAAGGCTGAGATCTTGGACCCCAGACTGATGGCTGGGAGGCCAGCGTGGGACTGATCTAGATCCCCTGAATGTGGGTGTCAGTGAGGAGACCTAGGCAATCAGTATTTATCCCTGGCACACAAATGGACTTTGGGAGCCCATCCCACAATAAGGGACGCTCTCTCAGCCTGGACTCTTGGGGGAGGGCCTAGGCCCTGCCCTGAAAAAAATGACAGACTCTGGATATCCCCCATGGAGGGCCTCACCCTCCCTCGGGAAAGGAGTGGGGATTGAGTGGGGGCTGGGGGAGCTGGGGGGGCGGGGGGAGGAGGGGAGGGAGAGCGAGCTGGGATTGACATGTAAAGCAGGCTTGTTTCTAATTTAAATGAAAAAACATTTTAAAAAAGAAAGAAGGGAGAGCATGTGGCCCAAGAATGGTCATACTGTGGTCAGCTGACTTCCAACTGTAGCTCCAAGCTTCCCCAATGAGGAAGACATAGTCTCTTCAAGAAATGAATACCCACACGCTAAAGAGTGAGACTGAGCCCCTACTTCACACCACTTGGGAAAAAAAATCACTCAGTATTCATTAAAGACCTAAATGTAAGAGCTAAAGCTTCAACAGTCTCAGAAACATAAGGATTACAACAAACAAAACCAATATAAGCCTTCATGGCCTTAAATGTGACAATATTCTTAGTTTCAGCATTAAAAGCAGAAGTAAAAAATTAAAAAATAGAGGATAAATTTGATTTCACCACAAAGAAAACTTTTGTCTCAAAATACCCCGGTAAGAAAGTAAAAGGAAGTGCTAAAGAGATGTTTCACTGGTTAAGGGCATTTGCGGTGCTAGCAGAGGACCTGGGTTTGGTTTCCAATACCACACGGTAGCTTACAACCATTGGTAGGCATGCATGCGGTGCTCATAAGTAACTACAGACAAAACATCCATCCACACAAAGGATAAAATAAAATACTCGTTTAACTTAAAAAGAAAGTAAAAGGATAATCACAGAATGGCAGTCAGCTGTGACAAGATGTATCACATATGGGCCTAGAAACTATGCTACAGCTTAACAACAAAACAAGCAGGGAGGGGAGAAAGCTGAAGGAGTGATGAGATCGGAGGAAAGTCTGCGGGCTGAATGGGAGCATATCTAAAGACGTGGGGATGGAGCAACAGGAAGGTTTGGACGGGTGGGTGGTGAGCAGTGGCTGTGAGCTGGAACACGACAGATACCCATGGGATGGGGTGAGGGTGTGAAATGTCATTCAGAAGGTTCACCTTCCCAGGAAGGCCTGTGAGATGCTGGCCTCAGCCTATGTCCAGGCACATGCCTAGTCAGGGGAACTCTCCAAGAAAACAGGTTGGGTAAGCAGTAGCTGGAGTCCAGCATGTAAAGCCATCTCACTGGGTCTGCAAAGGACTTCCAACTCATACAGGAAATTTCCAAGCCACACCCAGGCCTGGCCCCAGAGAACAGGCCAGGGATGCTTCCTGACACCCTCAGAGGACCACACACCACACACCCACCATCCACTAGACCACCCTCCAAGTCAAATAATGCAAAGGACAGGGATTACTCTTACATCCTAGAAGAGCCCAAGCCCCTGCACCACAAGCTTGACTAACCAACCTCATGGCCAAATGAGTCTCCGGGCAGGAAGAAAACTAGAAAGTTTGTATACGGAGCAACCAACAATGTGTAGGAGCCCAGAGGCCAGAGCGGAAGGCCACTATGAGCCATCCTTACTCTCCTACTTCATACAGCAGAAACTACAACAAGGGCTACAATCTGGGTGTGGCATGAGCTTGTCTAGACTAGTCTCAAATAGCCACTAGTTGGAGATCACTGCAGCCTAGGATATGTTCCTAGATGTCTCCACTGAAATGCGAGAAACAGTCCTGTGATGCAGGTTCTTGCAAAAAGTACCAGGAGTTGGTAAATGCTGCTTTATGCCCCTACAGCAGGGGGAGCAATAAGCAACTTGCTGGCATCCACAACCAGTCTCCTCAAGTCTTTCCAAACAACTGCTTTGAGTTTTGTCTTGCACTTGATTCTGCCTGGGTCCCCTGCACAGTGTTGGCATCACTGCAGCTGGCCGCTCTATTTTACCAAATGCTGTGTACCCTTCTCTAAAGGATCAGACCAACGTCACCCAAATGTCCCTTGTGGCCAACTACATCTCCTTTCCATATTTTAGGGGTAGATAGGAGCCATCTCTTCGATGAAGGCTGGTTGGGGAGACCCTCCACAATGAACTCTTGGTGGCCCAGAACAGGGCCTTTTTGGTAGCCAGGGCTGATCCATGGGGCCATCGGCAGCAGACATGTGAGTGCTCTTCATAGGAAAGCCCTATGCTGACATAGACCTGTGGACCTTCTACCCACTAAGACATGAGCTGACCAAATTTCTCAGGCAATAGTAACAGCCGTTCATTTTATATAACAGATAAGTAGAACGTAGAAATAAAAGCAGTCCCTGTGTGCATGGTGGCAATATTTCAGTCTTCTTTCTAGTCTTGCACTCACGATAATCCTGAGACCACGTTCAGACCACTGGGAAGGCAGGGCGGAAAGGACATACTTGTTTTGAACACAAACACTGCCCATCCTGCCAAGGCACAGGCAAATTGTCTTTTCCCACACCTTTTTCGGTAAGACGGTTGGCAACAACGGGGTGCTTTATTAAGCTGAACATGGAGCCCAGTCTGGAATAATCAGCACCTGCCGATGACAAAGACAGCCACTGCATACTGCAGCAGGGTCTCATACCAAGGCAGGGCACCTCCCCATGATAGGCAAAAGTGAACCAGGCTCTGAGGCCCAGAGTGTCTCCTACTATGGGTCCACTGACCAGACCAGGAGGAATCCAACAACACTGTCCAGTACCCTACACTCTGGGGTATAACCCCCAAAGTGCACACACAAGATTCTCCTAGAGCCGAGCCTTTAAGTTGAGCTGGACACAGACCTGAGGAGCCAAGCTACGTCTCCCACCCTTGGCAAGAGGTAACCACGTCTAGAAAGATCTCATGAACCCAACCCCTGGAAACAGCTGCAAAATAGAGCCTTTGTAGAGGGACCCATGTCAGAACTGTGCAAAGCCTGGACGTCCTCCAAGAGACTCCCTGAGGCAGTGGAGGGTGGGGGGCCATCGTCATCTCCAATGGGGAAAGGGCTCCGCAACTGGGATTACAACAACACAAGGGCCGAGGATTTCAGGGTTGGTGCCACTCAGATTTCCAGTAACACCAGGGCTCCTGCCCTTTTCTGAAAGAAGCCACACTCTGGAATTTTCTTCCACCCAAGATTAGAGGGAACAAATATTTCTGAAGCCACTAACTGGTGAATTCTTGGAATGGTGGAATTTCCTCCAAAGTGTGAGTCCCAGGTTACTGCCCTCTGATCTCCATGAAGGAGCTGGCTGCGCCACTTCCTCAGGCAGTGCCTGTGGTACCCCAGTCCTGCGGATGGCTGAGGCGGACTGTGGAGCGCCCCTTGCCAGCCTCTGCAAAAGAAACTTCTAAAAGATATTGGGTCCAGGGCAAAGAACTCCCTAACGTGGGACAGGTACATGCTTATTTGCATTCCAAGAGTGTAGGGGACCCGAATTGGGGAAATTGAGGTCCTCAAACCATGGGACCCTCGAAGATTCGGGTGTCAAACGGGACATCCCTGGAGTTTCCACCACTTCCAGCAATTCTGGGTCCTCCAGACGCCAACAATGAGTGGGAGAAGGGGCCCCGGACCAAGTAGGACAATCTCAGAGTGGCTGCTGCAGAGGCAAAGACCAGACAGAAATCCCTTGAATCCCAGGAGCACTTACCCGGGGCAGGCGGGGCGCGGAAGATCGGGCGCGCCCGCTGGGGGAGCCGCAGAGGCCAGGAGCTGTCAGCTCTCTCATCTCGGGGACCTGGCCTCGGGACTAAAGAAGGAAAGCCCCACCCCGGCACGCGAGCCGCCCTGCCCCGCCCGGAGTGGCAGGAGCAAGGGAAAAGCGGCAGGGGGCGCACGCACATCCTCGTTCCGGTCTGCCCCGTGCCCCTTGAATATCTGGAGTCCTCAGGTCTGAGTGCCTGGACAGGGTGGCACCGAGTGCCCTTTGAGTCCCCACGATCCTCCGAGGTCTTTCTTTGTACCTGGGCCTCTCGAATTCCCAGAGCAAGCCTCCAGTTTGTGCACCAAATCTCGCCTAGGCTTGAGGAGGTCCAGATAATCTCCTCCCTTTTGCAGAGTTGTGGGTTGGGGCTTTTTGACCCCTAAGGCTTGACGGTGAGAAAGAATAAGTAACCTGGATTTAGCTTGACTCTCCTCACCTGCTCTATGGAGTTGTCTGAAGAATCAAAAAGATTATTTACTTTCTGACACATAACTTACCTAATGAGATATATTAGGCACATGGGGGACATTCTCATCTGAAGCCTTTCAGGATACCACATGGTGATAGGTTCAGTCCTTAACATACATGTTCTGCTGTCCCGCCTGGCCTAGGTATCAGGACTCCTGCTAACAAGCACAAAGTACCTTTCATGGAGTCCCGGAAGTTCTCCATGTGGGCCATCTGCCCTCCGTGTTCCAGTCCCCATCCGGTCTTCCACTTAAGCAACCAGTCCTGATTTTGACCCTGCCCCTGTTTCCAGCTCCTGGGACACGCTGTCCCACTTAATGTCACTGCCCATTGACTAAGGTTTCCCGGTTACCCTTGCTTGCTTTTTTTTTTTAATTATTGATTATATCTTGATCTTTTTGTAATGTAAACTTTGCATAGAAAAAAATCAGTTTGCTAGAACTGGGATGATTTTGTCAATCCGAAGAAAGCAGAAGTCCAGGTATAATGGAGTGTCGGTGGCATCTGAGAGGATGAGGAGAGAGGCTCTGCTGTGCACAGCCTGGTGATGGGGAACTGGCATCCATAGGCATGCTAAGAATTTGAGCTTTGCTGACCCTTTCAGGACCTTTGGAACTTTCTAGAAAGAACTTCACTCCTCTTTCATGGGAAGACAACCTTTACATCTCAAGACAAATACAAGTCCCACCAAACTAACTTGTCCCCTCAGAACCAACAGAAAGGGGGCACTTCACTATTTCCTGGACTGGCACGGTAACTGAGGGTTGCTCTACCCAGGTACAGCAGAACACTTGGTCTTTGATACCTTCAGAAGTATAGGTCCTTGATCTCAGATTTTCCTCATATCATTCTCACAATCTCAAGTCTCTGTAGAGATGACCCTTCAAATGGAAGTACTACCTTTAAAGCCAAGGTCACAGCAGACAGAGAACCCATGTTAGGAGCCCCAGCTTTTAGGGTATCCCACATCAAGATGACTCAGGTCTCCTCAGCAGTGTTTCCTGGACACAGGGACTAGTCTGAATTTGCAACTTCCATTCATCTGACTATCCCGGGTCCCTGCATCCTTGAAGATATGACCACCTACCCCTTACCACAATGGCCAAAATCAAATGGATGCCCCCCAACCAAAGCGTCTTCTTTCTGCCTTGCAAAAAAAAAAAAAAAACACTATTGGGAGCCTTCTGCTCAGAACTCTTCCCTGTCCTCTCTCTAGTCGGGACCCCCAACTGGAATCAGAGATGCCATGCTACTGAGCTATCCCCACTCTAGTTTCTACCTGTTGGGTTCTAGCCCCTTTCATTGGACCACTTCCTGTTCCCTGGCTCTGTACGTGAGGGTTTGAGTACTGAGGGCTTGGGACTATAATGATCCACAGGTACCACAGCCATCCCTAGGAACTCTGCTCTGGATGTTTCAATTCCAGAGAGTTGCTGCCACACCACCCAGAGTTTGGCCACTGTACGATACCCAAGGTCAAACCCAAATCCTAGACCTGATGGAGGCATTTGGAAGTGCAGAGGAACAAAACTGCTTTCTCTATAGCTGAGTTTCAGTGGCAGTTGACTTCAACTGTCCCTGGCCTCTCCCATTCATACACTTCTAAACTGGGCAGACAGGACTGTGCTTTACCCTCTCTGGTGGTTTGGATGAAAATGGCCTCCATAGCCCCTGGCAGTAGGATCACGATACAAACCTGGTGCATGAGCTAGCTTGTTGGAGCCCATTCCCTAGGGTGGGATGTCATGCTCAGCCTTAATACATGGGAGAGGGGCTTGGCCCTGCCTCAACCTGTTGTACCACACTTTGTTGACTCCTCATGAGAGCCCTTACCTGTGAGGAGGAGTGGTGGACTGGGGGTGGGCTGGGGAGGAGGCAAGGGAGGGGGGAGGAAGGATGGGAGGAGGGGGAAGGGAGAATGATGGTTGGAATGTAAATTAAAATTTTAAAAAATAAATTAATTTTTTTAAAAAGCCACAAGACTGAGCCCATCTCTTATACTGCCTGTAGTGCCAGGATCCCGAGGTTGGGTGACCCAGAGACTAAGGAGAGCATGAGACACAAATGTTCAAAAAAAAGTCAACATAATGATGCCTAATCATATTCAGCTACACTCATAGATCAGTGGCTACCCCAATTGTCATCAGCCTTCACCCAGTAACTGATGAAAACAGATGCCTAGACCCACAATCAGACATCAGGCTGAGCTTTGGTAATCCTGCTGCAGAGAGGGAGGAAGGATTGTAGGAGCCGAGGAGTCAAGGACACCACAAGAAAACCCACAGAAACAACAAGCTGGGCTCATAGGAGCTCACAGAGTCTGAACTGACAAGCAGGGAGACTGTATGGGACTGACGTAGACCCTCTGCATATATGTGACAGTTGTGTATCTTGGTCTACTTGTGGGATTCCTAACAGTGGAAGCAGAGGATGTTCCTAATGCTTTGGCTGACTCATACTGGGTTACCTTGCACAGCCTTAATACATGGCGAGGTGCTTAATCCTATGGCAACTTGACATGACTATGCCTTGGTCCCAATGGGAGGCCTGAACAGAACAGAAACAGAAGAGGAGTGGATGGTGGATAGAGAGAGGGTATGGGAGGAGAGAAGAGAGGAGAAACTGTGGCCAGGATGTAAAATAAATTAATTTAAAAAGAAAAGAAAAGAAAATGGCTCCGTAGACTCTTCTATTTGAATGCTTGGTCCACAATTGGCAGAACTTTTGGGGAAGGATTAGGAGTTGTGGCCTTGTCAGAGGGGTGTCACATGGGGTGGGCTCTGACGTTTCAAAAACCCATACTGTTACCAATTAGCTTCCTCTCTCTGCCTACACCTTCTGCAAGATATAAACTCTCAGCCTCTGCTCCAGTGCTATGCCTGCCTGCTGCCATGCTCTCTGCAATGATCATGGACTCCCCTGTTGAAAACTCTAGACAAGCCCCCAATTCAATGCTTTTATTTGTAAGTCATCTTGGTCATGGTGTTTCTTCACAGTCGTAGAAGTAATAAGACACTTCTGAAGCCAGGTCAGGACCCTGCACAGAGTCCTGCAGCGGCATAGACAGCTCTCTTCACCGCGGTCACTTAGTGTCAGGCTTCTCCATTATGACTGTCATCTCCAACCCTTTTCTCTGCAGGACAGCAAAGGATCCGAGCATCGCTTGGAAAGCCTCTGGGAGGCCCCTGCTAGCCAGTGGCTGTGAAGTCTGTCCCTCCCAACCAACCCACCTGCGTCACAAACTGCCTCCAGCTAGGTGTGCACTGGGGAAGGCTATGCGGCTTCCTACTCCGTGGACACGCTTCCTGCCCTTGCAGCTCTCTGGGACTCTGCAACTGCAACCTGGAAGATGTAGAGACTACCCAGGGAAGGCTGCAGGAAGTATCCGAGAGACAGAGCAGTACAAGAGGCTCCACTGGATAGGACACTGCCTGCTGCCATGCTGTCTGTGTAAAATGTAGCTAAACTCTCAAGACCTTGGCTGGGACTGCTTGGCAGTGAGCATAACCTAAACTCAATGTACAAGTTCACCGCCCCTAGTCCTTTTATTTTTGCTTGTTTCTTTTTGTTTGTTTGTTTATTTGTTTTTGTTTGGTTTTTCCAGACAGGGTTTCTCTGAGGCTTTGGAGGCTGTCCTGGAACTAGTTCTTGTAGACCAGGTTGGTCTCAAACTCACAGAGATCCGCCTGCCTCTGCCTCCCTAGTGCTGGGATTAAAGATGTGCCCCACCAATGCCAGGCCCCTAGTCCTTTTCATTTCTCTTTCATACACACCAACATCTATCTCAATGAACATTATCTCTGTGACAAGAACAGAATTTTTTCAATTTCCTATATTTGAATCCAGCAGGAATAGAAACTAGTAGAAAGCTTGAGGTATGAGATGCCCATAGGGTGTAAAAGGTGCCCTTCACTCCATCTTCTGAAAGGGGTCAGATGAATCAGAAATACACGTTGTCTCAACTCCCCCAAACCTCTGAAGACTTTAACTACATCTGGGGTACTCTAGCTATGATAGGAGATGTCATCCAGTAAATCTGTCTCTTATTGGTTGTTGAATAAAGCACTGTTGGCCAATAGGGAAGCAAGATAGGTGGGACTAGGAGTTGAGGAGGATTCTGGGAAAGAGAGACACAAGCAGACACCATGTAGCCCACCAGAGGAGTAAAAGGTCTGAGACCCTTTTCTCCAGTAAGAGAAATACTTAGATTAACAATTATGGGTTAAATACTTAAGTCAGAGATAGCCAGTAAGAAGCCAAGTAAACGGCCAACAGCTTCATAATTAATACAGTGTCTTGTGTGTTATTTGGGGCTTCAGACAGCGCAGCAGGCAAGAAAAAACTACACTCTACACTAGCTGTGCAGCTGATTCTGGCAACCCTACCCACAGTCTTGACATTGCCTTAATCTAAAGACCCATTCCTGTGAGCTGAAACCAAGCAGTGGGCTGCAGCCGTGTGCTATAACATACTAGCGTGATAACCCTGCTGAGGAAGGAGGACTCCACACCCGATGGACAACAGGTACCAGAAGGGAGACAGGCACTGTTCACTATGGTAACGA